TGTTTATGTGTGTGTGTGTGTGTGTGTGTGTGTGTGTGTGTGTGTGTGTGTGTGTGTGTGTGGCCCAGGCATTACTTATGTTGTGGGGACCTGATTCACATTATGGGGACAAAAAGCAATTCCTCATAAAGTAGATAATTAAATTTTAAGACAAAGACATGTTTTAAGGTTGGGTTTAAGTTTGTTTAATATTGGGGTAGGGGTTAGGCAAGTAGTAACTATGGTTACAGTTAGAGTAAGTCTCCAGGAAATTAATGTAAGTCAACGTAATGAGTGTGTGTCTGGTGTCTGTATGTGTGTGTGGGTGTCCTGGTGGTTCTGTCCACTTGTCCACAACAAAAAAGAAAAGCACCAAATTCAGATAATGTATGTAATACTTTTTATTTTTTTCAAGACAAAATGGCTGAGTGAAGAGAATAATGCAGACAACAGCTGAAAATAGAGTGGCATCTCCGTAACTGAAAAACAACAACAAAATCTGTAAGTCGAGCAACAACTCATTAAGGTTGGTCAATGACCTTTGGTCATCGAACAGAGTAATTAAGCCATCACAATTCATCAGGAGGGAGGAAAAATGAACTGATTTGTTTTGCAGTGACTCTGTTCTGAACAGAGCGTGTGTATGCGTGTGTGTGTATAGTCATAATAAATAATGTCGACCAATGCCACAGGTCAACTTCAAGTTCAGTTCAGAACAAATAGCTTGAGAGTAAATACAGAACACAGGATGAAATCAGGCTGAAAAACTTAATGTACCTCAAAACCATCAGCAATGATAACATGTACCAAACGTTATTCTTTTATTTATGATTTCAGTTATATTTAGAATATGCCTTGCATATGACATGTACCATATTTAAATTATAAAGCACCATGGTTCATTTGGCAATGATAAAACAAAATTCAAAATAATGAAAAAAAAAGAACTGTAGCAAAGAGAAAAAAAAACGCTTTTCAGATTGATGTTGGATTGATTGCATATGACAAAAGGTCTTTTTCAAAAACTGCTGGAATGTTATCAGGTGGTACATGTTCAAGGACAGTAAAAAGTTGGCTACCGAGAAAACCCAACAATAGCTTGTATTACTGCATATAAAATGGCAGGAGAGAAAAATATATAAAACAAACTAAAAAGATATGTACAACCACCTGTTTTACCTCATTGTGGTCACTCCAGCGGGACTGCCTGAAAAGGTCATCATATGACCTCTCACCCTTGGGGGACACCACAACATTTTAATTTTCAAAAACGTACTTATTTTCAAGCATACAAATTATTCACACTATATTATCCTGCCAAATTAAGAAAATATACGGTGGCAGCTTGTTGGGATTTTTTTCACTACAGAAAAAAGGGGTACATTGAAACCTTTAAAGAGTACAGGCAAAACAGTTAAAAATACAGGCTCCAACATAAATACTATAAGTGCCTACACTAAGTGAACATTAATTTCAAATACCATTCTAAATACAGGAAAAAAGTAGACCATAAATGTGTTTTGAACATAGGAACTTACATGAGTGTGCATTTTCCTATGTTTTAAGTTCTCTCTATATATTTATATATCATAAATCTCTCCCCAATGCAAATTTTTGTTCAACCTGAAGACTTGTGAATAGTAAAGGCAAAAAAGATGAGAGACATGTTCATTACAATTCATTACATAGTGATCAAGTGCCGGATGTCAGCAAGACAGAAAAAGAGAAACAACAATGAAAAAAATTAAAACAAAAATTAAATAAGATTCTCCCCTAAAGATATTGAAGTGTTACTTTAAAAAAAAAATCCACGACAAAATTTACTTATCTTTTTATAATCAAATCTTTCTGTAATGAGCAGTACATTTCTATAGTTGGTATGAAGCAGGATATTTCTATGGCGGTTCCTGCATTGATACCCCAGAGAGCCAAACTGATTCAGTTCTCAGGAGGAGACATGGCTGACGACAGTTTCTGGTTCAACCCTCTTCTTTTTTTTTCTTTTTTTTTTTTCCTTAATGCAGAGCAATGACACCACACTAATCTGTCAGCATAAGAGCAAGTTTTCCCTTGAGTGTCCGACTGTAAACTGGGAAAATTGAACAGTGCATGTATTTAGTCCCAGATCTGAAATCTGGTCCTTGTTTTATACTCAACCACTGTACCTTCGATTAGAGAGACAGATACAGAATCCAAGGCAGAGTGACAAGTGCTATATCATCAACAATGACAGGGGGATGGAGATAAAGATACAACTACCACGATGAGGTCTAGAGCATGTCAACTCAATAGAACGCAAATGTGTACATTTTACTCTAATAAACTTGCGTGGAAAGGGGTAATTTGTCGAAAAAAATCGTATATTTTTGCTAAATTCAGATTCTTGACTTTTGATTTGAACGTTTCATTTAAGATCGTTTCCCAATGTAAGTTAATTTTAAAAAAGGTTTGCAGATTACTTAAGGGTTTCTAGGATCTAATGCAGTAAAGAGAATAAACACTATGAGGACATAAACATTTGAATTGTAGAGACACCTGGTCAAACTACTCCCCACCCTCTACTCTGGCCCTCCACCCACCCTTCACCCTCATACACCCAAACGAAATACCCAACCGAACCGACCCCGTCCCACCCTCACCCAAAAATCTGTCTGGCTTAGAGCAACTAAAACCCACTCTGTGGTCTTCAAGTGGCTGCTAGCTACACTGCCTGCCTGGCTGACAGAAGGAAAAATAATTCTGTGCTACTCACAAAGAAAACTGCAAACTTTTAATTTTTTAAAAGAAAAGAAAAACACTCTGGAAAATTAAGAGCTTTACGTTGGAAAAACGACTCCCTCTCAGTATGGTACACATGTACCAGAAAATAAAGACACCTAAACCAAAACTCTACACACCAAACTCCTACTCCTTTTTAGCATGTAACATGCCAGTAAACAGAATCATAATCTGGAGAATAACAATATACATGAGTCAGGCAGATAAATGATTTACCAGAGATACACATCTTTTTTTTTTCTTTTCGTTTTTTGTTTCAGCCGGTTCCTTATGCTCTGCTAAGTCACAAAACGACAGGGTCGTACAGGTGCTTGATGCAAGTACCTGCTTATTCCATATGTGCACAAAAATGTCCTGTAATCTTCGATAGCTGAAACTCCGAGCTTATAGCAAAAAGGAGGATTAACTAATGCGGGTAAAATATCCAAGGCACTCATTGTTGTCATTTCACACCATATTGTTAATTTCATTGCTGTTTGTAAAAGAAATATTTAATGGCGCTAGTGCCTAGCATTTCATAGGCAGCCCAATTTTTAATATATATATATCTTATCTCAATCTTGCATGGAAAGTCTTTCACAAAGATCCGCTTTAAGTGTGACCCTGCTTGTCTTGATGTTTTGATAATATGACACTGTCCACTATGTTCGAACACAAAACTGTACATGATATGTAAAACAGTATGTACTGTGTGCAGCATGGGTTCTCATAACTAATGTTTTTTTTTTATGTTGAAGAAATCAAAAGTATCAACAGCAACACATGTACAACCAAACCCACCAGCCGAGGACAATCTTCTCTCTAAGTAGCCAAAACACACCGAGCATGCTGTCCAGTTACAAAAAAATACAAAACGTGTAAATTATTGCACAATAGAAAGGCTCAAAAAGTTTTGCGTTTGATGCAATAGTATTGCCCCAATGATGGATCATGCATTCAGCTCTTTCCAGTCGAGGATTATAATAGGGCTGTACTGTGTACTGGTGTCTAACCCTGTTGTCCTTTCCCCTCACTTATCGGCTAGTTAGCCAGGGTCGCTTTTTAGCCAGAGGAGCTGAGAGAGAGAGCTGCCAGCATGCTGCTCTTTGCCTACTCAGTCTTAATATCATTAGCCAGAGGGCGGTCATTGTGCCACTTCTTCATGTGTTTCTCCAGAGTGCTGTATACACTGAAAGGCATGTGGCAGATTTCACATTTGTACACGTCCTTGCCCATCTGTCCATGGGTCTTCATGTGGCGGGTGAGCTTTGAGCTCTGGGCGCACGCATAGCTGCACAGCTCACACTTGTAGGGCCGCTCTCCAGTGTGACTGCGTCGGTGCACTGTCAAGTTGCTGCAGTTCTTGAACACCTTGCCACAATATTCACAAGTGTCACTGCGGCGGCCGTCCTTGGAGCTCGGCCTGCCGTTCCCGCTCCCACCATGGGGCGTGCTGGCCCCGCTGCCGGTGCCGCTGCGTCCCGAAGGGGCCCGCTCCCCATCTAGCTCGCCAGGTGGAGTGGAGAAGCGCAGGCTGCCGTTCTCTGACGAGTGCTCAGATGAGGAGGCGAAGGGCGATTGTCTGGAGTCCCCACCTGTGAAGTTAATGAAGGGGTCCTTGAGTTGTCGTGAGGCAGCATAGCCAGCTAGCCACTGGGAGTAGACATTCTCTGTGTTAGGGATGGTGGGAGTGGGGGGGTCAAGGTCCTTCTCCACCTTAATGCGCTTGGACAGGGGACTGAGGGAGCCAGGGCTGACCCTTCCACCCAGTAGCTTCCGGGACAAGCTGTCATTGGATAGAGGTCCCAGGCCATTGATGGTAGTGGTGGTTCCATCATCTGCCCGGTCTGACTCCATGGCTGAATCCTCATCACCAGGCTCACGGGACGAGCTCCGGCGGCGTGGATGCAGGGCCTCACTGTTCTGGTGGTGGCGGGCCCCTTCTAGCCGCAGGCTGAAACGATAGTCATTCTTTCCCTCCTCTTCTTCCACTCCAGGCTTACTTTCAATTTCCTCTTCCTCCTCTTCTTCTTCTTCCTCTTCCTCCTCCTCCTCTTCCTCCTCTTCCTCCTCCTCCTCTTCCTCCTCCTCCTCCTCTTCTCCATTTTCAGGCATCAGACCATTGTTCTCACTCTTGAACTTGGCCACCACTGACTTGAGAGCATCCGTGGCACTGCCCATCAGCTCACTGGTACCAGGTTCAGGAGAGCTGGCCGCCGAGAGGCCATCATCTGACTTGGCACTAAGCACAGACGACTTGCTCTGACAGTGTGTCTTCATGTGTCGTTTCAGTTTGCTGGCCTGGGTGCAAGCATGGTTACAGAGGTGACACTTGAATGGCTTTTCCCCTGTGTGGCTACGCCGGTGAACAATTAGGTTGCTCTGGAACTTGAAGGTCTTCCCACAAAACTCGCAAGACTTTGCCTTGAGAGGTGTGCCCGGCTGCACTGCATTGGATACAGCATTCGGGGTGGAACGTGAGCCAGAAGGTGACTGAGAGGTGGAAAGGGGAGGTGTCGCTGAAAACGGAGGCTTTGAACCTGGCTGGAATGGCTGCAGCAGCCGTTGCATAGCGTTGGGCCTGTTAGGGGAGAGGGGTGGGGAGGCCCCAGTGGCATTCCCAGCCAGCTCGCGCAGACGTCTTGAGAAGTCCATGCTGGGAGGGGGCTCTAATGGCACTGAGTTGAGTCTCATCACCCTGTCAAAGGCGCTGGGATGGTGGGTTGCCAGGGCCAGGTCATCAGGACTGAGGTGGTGGCGAGGTGGCGGGCTGAACAGTGGTGGGGTACGGGGGTAGCGACCCTCACGAGGTGTGGATGCTGAGTCCCGGCCAGACCCAGAGCCCGGCATCCGCAGGAGGCTGTAAGGACTACCATCAGCTAAGTGGACAGCATGGAGGGGAGGCTGGGAGGAGACACAGTCGCCACCCATCCCAGGAGCTGTCGCCACGCGGGGGGTGAGGGGGCTGCCTGGCTCGCTCTCCAGATAGATGCGGAAGCCATGGGTGTTCTGGGCGTGCTGGAGCAGGAACCAGGCACTGGTGAAGGGCTGCTTGCACGTGGTGCAGGTGTAACTGCTGGGCTCATCTTTATCTGAAAAAAACAAGCAACACACAAAGAAAAAAATTAATCAATCTATAAAATGATAGGGTTTTGGGTTTTGCCGAACTCACTACTATAACTGATATTACACCATCATTATAGAATAATTTAGCATGACACTTCAGTGATGAAAAGAAATTCTTCTGATGAAGACGAAATTAAGCAGCACATTTTTTTATTTCCAAAGATAGCATATTATGATCCTGATCACAGCACTAGTAATGTCTAGTGGAAAAAAACTGTGATTACAGAGAAGCCTTTCAAAGGTTTTAAAAAATCTTAAGAAAATCATTTTAACTCAAATAAATAAAGTCCCCCTTTTGCTGCGGTGATTAAGTATAACTGAATGTCAACACTGTGGAATCCTTTTTTAAAATTAGGACCAAATATTAAAATCCCAAGCTTGAACATATTTTAAAGATTAAATACGCATTTTACAATTTTATCAAAATAATATTACCCCCGGTGAGTGTGTGCTTAACAAAAGAATATATAAAACAATAATGAGAGATATCTTAGGCAGCAAATACACAATTCACACAGTTGAGGAGACAGGAATATTTCAAACAACAATTGACTTTCAATAGCACTTGCACGCTGACCTGAGATATGCCTGACAATGCACGCCTAATCTCATTAAACACACTCATCTCCCCTCCAATGCCTTGTTTACAGAATTAGCAAGGCTAAAGTGGGACATGTATCTGATGCTGCATATTAACGCTGAATACAAATAAGAGGTCACATGTTAATAAATTGTACCAGCGTTTATCGCAAAAAACACACATCCACAGCAAGAAGAACCAAAGGGGAAAAATGATGTATGTGTGTTTGTGTGTGGGTGGGAAGCTTCTATGAAAATGCATTTCATGCATTACTTTTCTATTTCTGATATTTCATGCTTTATGGATTTATTTAAATCCTCTCAGGTGAAGAGAAAAGGAGAAGAAGGGGAAAGCAGAAGTGAGAGATATGCAAAATAAGAAGCATCCGCCACTTGCAAATGTGCTCACTCTTTCATCTTTTGGCTGTCTTATCCTTTCTTCTCTTTTTTCCTTTTTCACTGGAGGGCATTTTTCTGAAGTCATTTGCAGACACTGAACCCACAACCACGACCATACTGTGCTGGAGAGGGAGAACGCGGGAGGAAGGAAGATGGGCCGAGTGTATGCGCTTGCGACTATGAGCGATTCCTAAGATGGTGGATGGACAGTCGTGCATGTTTTAAGCCTGCTGTGGCTGAGAGACAAAGGGGTGAAGAAGAGAGAGAAGACGGCTGCACAGAGAAAAGCATGATGTTGTGGATGAGAAATAGAGGGAACAGATAAGTGTTTAGTGCTTCCCTCTATCTCGTGTCCACCGTGGCCCCCTCTGAACAATCTCACTTAAAGACCAGAACACAGCATAAAATGTGCACCCAATCAAACCTACACGCAAACCTTTTCCTCTTGACTGAAAAGAGTTGGAAGGGGGTATACTGGTAAATTATGGATCATTACAATCTGCTAAAATTACAGTTAATTGCTGCCACCTGCAAGGGGCTCTGACCCACTATGGAATTTTTCCATCATAAAAAAGCCATTTGCCCATACACGTTTTTGCTCCCTCTTTCATAAGCACATATAAAATGTGCCCATTACATTGGTTTGGCTATATGCATGTTCCCTGATTATGTGTGTTTTTATGGCTTTAAATAGAAAGCACCATATCGCTTGTAAAACGGTTGTAATAACCTGGCTTCTCCCGTTCTTTTCTCTTTGATTTGCAGCCTATACACACTTCCCTCCTGTGATGTGCGAGCGGACCGTGTATATGCATGAGGGGGGAAAATGAATTTTCTGTTGTTTGTGAAGGACGAGATAGGGAGAGCAGGACGGGGGTGGGTGGGGGGGTTTAGGGAGGGCTTGAATGTCGTCTTCTCCTCCTAAGACGTCCGTCAGAGAAAAGAAAGCAGCGAGTGAGTGAAGTAAGGAGGTATAGGGAAAAAAGGAAGGGAGTGACGGAGGGAGAGAAGTGTGGCGTGAAGGGGACATCCCTAATGACAACCCACCCTGTTTCTGAAGGACACGAGAGCCACAACACAGTGTTTTAAAGGCACTAGTCAATGCACATTCTTATGTATCAAAATAGCACGTCTCGAGCTATGCAATCACCAGCCCATCCATGGGCATCTGACAAACAGTGCACAAGCCACAAGCAGCGACGATAATTGTTATTCCCGTGCGGGCATGTGGACAGATTGATGGGCATCAAAAAGACAGACAACACATGCTCAGATTCACAACAATGACAGAGAAGATACCTAAATAAGTCCACTATTGTTCTTAATAGCTGTCCTCAACAGGATGGAAGGACATTTATTCAGAGGGAGAAACGACATTCTGACAAGGCGTATGATGGCCTTGAAGATTTTTTGCCAGTATATAAGAGCAGAGAACTGAGCGAAAGGGAGAACGGATGATCTTATAAATAAGTCTGTCCTCTAATGGAATAAAGGAGAACTCCCTCTCGCTCTCTCCGTCTGTTTCTCTCCTTCCAGTAACTGTAAGTCTGTGGCGAGTTAGGGCCGGAGAGCAGGAGAGCTGGAGCTAATGCTGGATCTCCAGGTCCCTTTGAAATAGGATCAGCAGAGAGGAGAAATCACACTGACAACCCCTGAGCTGCCATTTCATGGCAGAGGCTGAAAGAGGGGACTTTGGGGGAAGAGAAGACGGAAAGGGTGTATGGGAGAAGTGAGAGAGAGAGAGAGAGAGAGTGAGAGAGAGAGGGGATCAGGAGCAGAAAAGTAGGAGAACGATAATAAAAAAAAAAAGCCATAGAGGCAGAGAACAGAGCAGAGATGTAGAACAGTCAAAGGAAGAGTGGGGAGGGGGACCGGGCGGGGGCATTGCGGTGTCTAACGGACATAGTGCGCTGCTATCAGGCACAGAATATGATCCAGGGTTTGTGCAAAATGAACAAGACCAACTGACGCAAGGGCAGAGGGGAAATGATGGCGCCTTCGATGGCAGATACGGTCGCCTGTGAGCTGCTGACACCATCTTCACGCCAGACAATAGTGTTGACCATACAAAGCAACACACACAAACAGATCTAGCAGGCTGACGCTCCACAGACATTTCACTCATGCAGATTGCTCTATTGTTAGTGACCCAACCCCCAAAACCCAGTCTCACACGATCTGCCTCAATCTCCACACACACACACACACACACACACACACANCACACACACACACACACACACACACACACACACACACACACACACACACAGTGACCATGCCACCCCGTCTCGTTATTATTCTATTAGGCCAAACACAGCGACAAACACAAACAAACACAACAACAGACGCCGAGACAACCGTGACCATTAATGACGCATGAAGGAAAAAATTACTCAGCACCCGTCTCTTCCGCCCTTCATCTCTGAATCAAGCCCACCAATTACCAGCCTGCTCCCTCAAACTTTCTATACATTCAAAAGTTACCAGACTTGGCTTGACCTCCATTCTTCTTTCTTTTCTTTTTTTTGTCCTTGACCAAGCCTGATGGCGGACTCAGGCCAACCTGATGTGACCATGCAGCTCTCACTGATATTGGTCATTTAGCTAATGGAGGAACGAGCTAACAGGATTAGCTTGCAGGGCCTTCCAAAAGGAAAGGAGGAAGAGGAGGAGGAGGAGGAAGCCACAGAGAGAGTAGACAGGAGGGGATGCAGTGTGTCACGGCCATTTTCCCAAAGTTATCAGTCGGCCAGGCTAGGTCGCACTCACACACACCTGAAAAGTGATTATGCTAATAGCAGGTCTTTGCCAATATTCATAAGTGTTTATAGGTGTTGGAGTGAGTGCCTCGGGAAGACGGATTGTTGTCAATACAGTGCCTCTTAAGAGTGCCTCAGCCATAACTGGCGTTAATGTGATTACCACTCTGTTTATGTCATTAGGGTATTCACAGTCAGGGATTGGACAGGGGTGAAGGGTGAGGCAGAGGAAGAAGGTGGTGGGGGATGGCAGAGGCTCCCATTAGAGCTTTTCTTCACTGGCTTGCATTTTCTAAATTCACCCTCTTGTATATATGACTTTCATCTGACTTAGCTGGCAAGGCTTTGTGGGAAAAACTTTGCTGTAATTATTCAACGCCCTTCTTATTTTGGGTATTGGGGGGGGGGGGGTCTCATCCATATAATCACCCAAAGATGCTCTCAATTCTTAACCTCCTCCACCTCACTTCTCTGTCCCTCTGTGTCTCTGTGTTTCTCCGTCGCTGCCACACACACACACAAACACACACACACGCACACACTACAGGGTTCATACACTTGCTTCTTTGTCCGGGGCCAGACTTGTTGTGGTGCACCGAGCCACTGGCCAGAGACAAAAGGCTTGTTTGACCAACACTTGTTCCTGAGACAAAGCCGGATACAGGAAATACGGTTTGCGAAACAGAAAGCCAGCCAGGGAAAAGAACAGGACTGAATCTCAACCTTTTTATGAGAAAATGGAGAGCTACAGATAGGAAAAAAGAGAAATACCTGGGGAGAAAACCTATAGCTGGCATGAGCAAGCAAAGGGTGGGGGGGGGGGGGTCTGCGGATATAGATGCATGGTGGTCTGTGCCCAGTATAAAGTAAACTCCTGGCTGTGGCTTTGTCTTCAGTCAGACTTTCACACTTCTTACCTTTCCTCCTTCTTCTGAAAGTTGATAAGAGCAACAGTGGAATTGAGGCGTCTCTGAGACACTAAGAAACCATTATGGACAGATGGCACCCACACAGAGGGCAATGAATGCATGCACCACACACAATAGACAAATGTGTGTGTGTGTGTGTGTGCGTGTGTGTGCGTGTGTGTGCGTGTGTGTGTGTGTGCGTGTGTGTGTGCCTGCCTGCCTGCTGGGGAAGTTGGTGTTTTTTTCATACAAGTGTTTGTAATGTGATGGTTTCTTCAATGGGCATGCATGTTAATTTGCACGTGTGTTTGTGTGTGTGTGTGTGTGTGTGTGTGAGTGTGTTATAATTTGTATGTAATACACTTGCCACAAAATTTCAAAATTAGAATTAGAATCGCTCTACGTTGTCTGATTCCCTGCGCAACTTTACCCCCTTTGATCTTTTCTTGGATGAACTGCATTTGAACTGACCGTCCGCCCACCCATCCGTCCGTCCATCTCTCTATTCCTCCACCTATCCATCCGTTCATCCATCCCCACTAAGCCCAGCTGGACGGCTTCGTGCCTGGGTGCGGCTGGGTCCGGCAGACCTCATAATAGGCTGGGCCAGGCGCGTCTCTGCTGCAGATCATTATTTGCTCTCTGCTTACCAGCGACGATGGGAGGCCGCACTCACTTGTTTCTCATCCTAGCTCTAATGGTACGGTGAAAGGACCTCTGGGCTTCTAAGCTTAACCAGTCTAATTAAATGGACCATCGCTTATGTAAGCATCCGCAGAGATTATTTATTGAGTTGGGATCCGCTTCGCAGGATCAAACCACCGTCAACAAAAGCCAACGCTCAGTGGAGTAGGTATTAAATAAAGGAGTGGAATCAAAGCTGCAAACTGCCAAGTGTCAGTTTAAGCACACATATCCAGGTACATAAGAAGACTTAATCAAGCAGGAGTATTTTTGGACTCGGGCAATATCCCAGATGGGCAAGGAGTCTCTGAGCACTTCAGAGGGGAAAAGTGAAAATTGTTCTGTCAAAGAAAAAGATACGTCTCAATAAACTGCAGCTTAGGGGGTAGGAGAGAGGAGTAAAATAGGCTAATGAAGAATATAACAGAAAATAGTAAAATTCAATACAGTGGAACAGAATGTGTGGGCTATTTTGTCTTCACTATACGGCATTCAGATGAGAGCATGTGCTGTCTTTCCTTACAAGCATCATCCCTGTTTGAAGTGCACAGACAAGATAGCCTACGTGAGACATGAGGCCAGCAGCCCGAGCTTCACTATCTCTGCATAGCTCAGCTTATGACAGGCTTGCGTCCCTGCAGAAAGGATGGAGGGGGACCGGGGAGGTCGACTAGCTGCACATTTCTGCATAAATCTCCAGATAGATAGCATCAGGAGGAGAGAAACAGGGGAGAGGGGCAGGCAAGCAGCGAGGGATGATAAGGCCCCCGGGGCAGGGCATTCGACACTGTCAAAACTGTTTCGTCTCCGGCTATTGGACGAGTGGAGCGCGTTATGAGCCTGCATACCATTTGCCGGGACGTG